ACTTCCCTCCCACATGAGGCTTAGAGTCTAAGGAGGGACACAGACAACGTGCAAGGAAACAGATATAAAATTTTATTTGTACTATATTTATATAGCGTATAAGTATGTACTGCTTATGATATAAATATAACTCTGTTTGTCTTCATAATACCATGAAGTAAAAGCTTTCTAAGAAAAAATTCACCAGGCACAGTGGCTCACACCTATAATCCCAGCACTTTGGGAGGCCGAGGTGAGCGGATCACCTGAGATCAGGAGTTTGAGACCAGCCTGGCCAACATTGTAAAGCCCCGTCTCTACTAAAAATAAAAAAAATTAGCCGGGCATGGTAGTGGGTGTCTGTAATCCCAGCTACTCTGGAGACTGAGGCAGGAGAATCGCTTGAACCTGGGAGGCAAAGGTTGCAGTGAGCTGAGATCATGCCATTGCACTCCAGCCTGGGCAATAGGAGTAAAACTGTCTCAAAAAAAAAAAAAGAATAAAAAACGAAAAAAAATTATACCTAACAGGACATTGTGATGTCAAATAGAACCAATCAGGTTTCAGGTTTTCCCTCTCAAGTCAACTGCATATGACCTTGAAGGAGGGGGTGTCCCTTACTACCTCTGGGCTTTGGGGTCATCTTCTTAAAATGCTAGGTATTGACTAAATGACTGCTTTTCCAATCTTCTTAAAGCGATGGAAACCTTTACCTCCCCTGCATGAACTCTCACCCTGAATCCTAATGGGTGAAGTAGGGGACAGCCATTAGGTCCTGCCTACTCTCACTCTCTGACCCTAACTTTCAAGACCACTTGTAACCCCCTAGGGCAGCTGCTGAGATACTTCTCTAGAACCTAGGTCTCCATGGACCAGTCAAAACCGCTGGATTAGATAATGTTTGATGTTCTTCTAAGCATCACCAGTGTCAGGCCTCCATGTGCAAGCCCAGACCCAGGAAGTCTAAAGTCCTGCCTGCCTCGGCTAATCACCCCCCACCCCAGCGGAGCTTCCCCCTGGACATCAACCCACCCTGCCATCTTAACTGTTATTACAGTAATGTGAATACTCCTCACCCCACCCTGCCATATTAACTACTCTAACACCTTACCCCACCCACCATTGTAACTGAACTTATGGTAATGTATATTCCTTGCCCCTACTGTAACTGATCTTACTCCGTTAACACCCCTGACCCCTCCTCCAAAAATTTGCTCCAACCTATAAAACCAACTCCTATCCCACTGCCCTTTGCTAACACCCTTTTCGGCCTTAGGCCACCTGCACCCAGGTGAATAAACAGCCATGTTGCTCATACAAAGCCTGTTTGGAAAATCTCTTTATTAAGTGTGTTTAATATTCGGTACTATTGGACGTTTTAACAACCAAACTGTGAAAGAACTGGGTGGATAATGCCTCGGTTTCCCCAGTGGGGTTGGAGATCTGTGTGTTACTCTGTGTGTTAATTTATCTATCAATTGCAGTGTGACATGCCAGGACTGTTCTGGCATGTCATACCTCCAATCTATTCCAATCTCCCTTTTTAGTCAGTCCTCCTTCAGTTGAAAGTGCAGAACCCAATTCAAACTTGCTTGTGCATAACAGGGAAGTTATTGGGACACTTAACTAGGAAGTTCCTCCATATATCTGGCTTATGGCCAAGAGTTCAAGCGGTACCACGGTCTGCACGGCTTTCTTCTCTGGCGGACGTTCCTCGTGTCATGGCCAACGATGCCCCAGGCTTACATCCTACAGCCCAGCAACCTCACTGGAAAGAGAGGGCCTCTTCTGTGGTAGTTCCTATGAAAGTCTTGCATGCCCACCCTCACTGGCCAGGTGCAGACCACGAGCTCATCTCTGAAACAGTCACCATGGCTGGGGGGATTTGGAAACTTAATTGGCCACCTTCAGCCACCTAAGCCATATGGGGCAGGAGGATTCCTCAAGAAACATTGAGGTGCTAATATCAAAAGAATGTGAAATACTCTCAAAAGACGAACACTTCACTGGGTGTGGTGGCTCACGCCTGTAATCCCAGCACTTTGGGAGGCCAAGGTGGGTGGATCATGAGGTCACTAGTTCGAGACCAGTCTGGCCAACATGGTGAAACCCTGTCTCTACTAAAGATACAAAAATTAGTTCGGCATGGTGGCGTGTGCCTGAAATCCCAGCTACTTAGGAGGCTGAGGCAGGAGAATTGCTTGAACCTGGGAGGTGGAGGTTGCAGTGAGCTGAGATTGTGCCATTGCACTCCAGCCTGAGCAACAGGGCGAGACTCTGTCTCAAGAAAAAAAAATAATGAACAATCTACTTAAAGTGACAACATAATTTATCATCCAGACTAGAATAGTTTAGAGAGTAAAAAGGGGCGCCATTAACCATCACAGCGGGACAAACACATGTAAACTAGTCTACTGTTCTGGGCAACCTGGAGCATGTCGTTATCTTAACTATTGCCCTCAGAGAAGCTACATGACTTTGCCCAAGTTCCCAAGCTAATGAGTGAGATAAATGGGTATAGATAGAACCCCTTCTAGTACTTTCTATCAAAAAGTCATTGTCAGCCATGAGAAACTTGTTTCTGTAGTAGACTTCTCATGGAATAGGGTATGAGAGTAGATTTTATGGAAAAATCAGAGCTCTGATGAAGTTAGGCTAAGTGAGGAATCCTTTGTAGGGTCACCTCAGTGGCCATCAGCAATAATGTTCTGTCATTGACATGTCTGGATTCCCTGTGTTAAAGTATTTTGGGCACATAGACATATTTTCCCCAAATTGTATGATATCATCAGTGGTTAGAGTGTGGGTTTGAACCCAGCTCTACCCCCTAGGAGCTGTGTGACTTTGGGCAAATTACTTAATCTTTCTGAATCTGTTTCCTTCTTAGTGTCAGGTTCTGCCCCGTCTGCAGCCCCAGCCTACCCAGGTGTTTCCCTGTGTCCTGCCCTTCTGTGGCCTGATCAGCTCGTTGCACTCCTGGCCCTACCTCTCATCAACCGGTGAGTGGTCAGCTTGGGTGTGTGGCCTCAACACTATATTGAAAAGTGTTAGTCAGTAAACCATAGGGATTTTATAGCATCTTGAGGGAATGTTAAATTGCAGGGAGGAAAAACTGTGAAAAGCTCAGTCCAAAATGTAATTAAAAAAAATAAAGTCACACCATCACCAAGTCTCAGTAGTTCACAGTGCTAAAATTCCAAGTCAAAAAGAAAAAAAAGAACAAGCCACATATTTTTGTGGATGTCTTTAGCCTCAGACACCTGGTTTGGCAACACACCACCACCTGTGCTGCATTAAACCTGTGAAAAACTCAGGAAGGAAATACAGTGTATAAGGCCAGAAAAGGGTGGGCTCCTGGACCCCTTAGGTCAAACAGCAGGCTGTAAATGACTCTTTTCAAAACAGACACATTACTTCCCAAGACTGCGGCCTGCCACAAAAGAAGGTACACACAGCGGTTGTTCCCAGCAAGGGTTATACTATATGGCTATTAAGGGGAATAGAAGCAGCTTGATTCTTGCCAATGACAGGAAATAAGGTCAAGTAAAGATAACAGGTCTTTGAATTAAAGAGGCTTTCAACACACATCCTGGCCTCATGGCTTTAGTATCGAGTAAGAATTATGGAATGAAGCCTCAGGTTTTCTTACTCCCTTGAAGCTGGGCTCCTGAAACATACCCTCTCCCAGATTAATGTGAAGGAGTCCTGTATGTGGGGAAGGCACCAGCTTCCTCATGCCTTTGCCTTATTTGTGTTCTTTCTAAGTAGACCTTGCTGCTGCATTGCTAGTGAGAGCTGGGCTGGGATTGTTTCACCAGTTATAAGTCTCACATATAGCACATTTGATGGTCTTGGTGGTAAATAGATTTAGAGGTCAAGATTGCATGACTTTTGTCTAGGTAATGGGGAAGGGAGCTCGCAGACCTCAGCTATTGTGGATCAGTATATTTCTATTTTGCCTTATTGGTCAAGGACAAGGTATCTGAACAGGCTTGACTTAATTCAATGAGACAGAATATCAGTTCAGTTCAGGGAAAACGTGAAAAAACCCAAACATCAAAATGTTGCTTGTCATGTGGAGAAGCACCTGGTTGTGAGCGTGGAATCTCCGCCCTGCTGTGCAGACTGCATTTATTAGATACCCACCTAATTCTACCGCTCTTGTGTGGGGAGGAGGGTGCAGGATGGGAGTAGGGAATGGAAGGGGGTGGAAACTTAAGCAACCCATTACAGCATTAAAAAAAAAAAAATCTGGTTTATTCGGCTAGCCAACTGGCTCTTCTACAAATAATCCACGGGTTTAACAAATCCAGCTTTTCTTGGGATTCTTGTTGGCATTGGTTCTAGTGCATGTGTCTGTAGACCTGAGTAACTCTCTTCCCCCATAACAACTAAAGAAAGTGCACACATTCTTCATGCTTTTAAGCTGTTCCTGTCTGATAATTAAGCAGAAAAATAGACCTTGATTTTGACAGCTAAGTCTGGTTACAACCCTACTTCATGGGGGTTGTCAGAAGACTGGCCTCAAGTGGAGCACAGAGTGAGAAAGAGTTCTGGAGATAATAGCTTTTCTTTCTTTTTTTTTTTTTTCTAATTTCTACTTTTTTTTGAGAGGGAGTCTCACTCTGTCACCTAGGCTGGAGTGTAGTGGCACGATCTTGGTTCCCTGCAACCTCTGCCTCCTGGGTTCAAGCAATTCTGCCTCGGCCTCCTGAGTAGCTGAGATTATAGGTGCCCGCCACCACGCCCAGCTAATTTTTGTATTTTATTTGAGACCACGTTGGTCAGGCTGGTTTTGAATTTCTGACCTCAAACGATCCGCCAGCCTCGGCCTCCCAAAGTGCTGGGATTATAGGCATGAGCCGCCGTGTCCAGCCAGGAGATAATAGCTTTTCATTGCCTGATCTCTCTGATCTCTCGTAGCTTACATATGCCCTCATTGGCTTCATGGAGAGTCTACAAATTTATAAGTCAAAAATATTATTAATATCTTTATTATGCAGGGAATGGTTTAAGCCCTGCTGAGTTGTCTTGCTGTGGTTTGATTTTGAATAGACCTTTGGTTTCTTGGTTTTTATCTGAATTAAGAGCACAACTCTAGGTTCTTAGAGTTCTGGAGTATTTACAGATTGTTAGTGTGTAGAGAATAATGTCTTTTCTTTCCACAAAGCAACCCATGTTCATTGTTTAAAAAAAAGTAGATGAATTCTTGCACAAAGTAGAATATCATCAGTAATTCTACCTCTCAGAGATTATCACTGTCCACATTTTGGTGAATTATTATTGCACACATTTTGTAACTTTTCACCTAATTATGTATCAAATACCTTTTCATATCATTAACTGGCCTTCAATGTCATGTTTAATGGCAATAGAGAATTCTATCCACACGCACCTCATTTATTTAAGTAATCCTCTATTATGGACATTCAGACTGTTTCCAATTTTTCCACTATCAAATAACATATCATTGTTAAATAAACTCCAAATCACTAAGTTCCAAGATGTAGTTTCCAGTTTCTGGGCCTTCATGTCATGTCTGCTCAAACCTGTGGGTTTTCCTGAAAGTTGCAAACTCCCTGCATCTCAAACTAGCCCCAAGGATACTCCTTCAAAAGGTTGAGATGTGAAATTCCTCTCTTGTTCCCAGCAAGAGGAGGCAACATTGGGGTCATTTTCATGACAGCCATTGCCGTGTACGAGGTGCTCCGGTAAGGCACCCTCCTTTCAAATCTTCCCCTCATCACAGGCTATTTCCTCACCGCAGCAGCAACCTCACCTTTCACGGGGACTTCCAAATGTGTCATCCCAATAGACGGTTCCCAAGACAAAGAAAAATTCACACACATGTGCTCTGTGCAATGCTCCTACGCATTCAGACAACGTCTCACCTTTCGTTCTGGGGGAGAATTGACCGGGTGAGGCCTTTTCCTGTTTAACTGGACTTGGACTCATTTGAAAGATGTAGACACAACTTCATGGGCAATTGAAGATGGGTTATTTATCCAGAAGTGGGGGTTTCAAAGGGATTGGGGAGTAGGAGATGAAAGGCTCAATAAGGAGAATTGGCTCAGGAGAACACAGGAGGGGTTCATGGGAAACCTGGCCAGCTGCCTCGGCCCAGTGAGGACCTGCTAATCCTGGGCAAAACTGCCAGGTGAGTAAGGGTTATCTTCAGGGCTTTCCTTGCCTTTTTGCTGCCTCAAGCGAGCAATTAGGAGGATCATGGACTTCGTGGAGACCTAAGGCTCCCACTGAGCCAGTTCTTCCGGCTGACTTTTAGAGTAGCCCCTCACTATTGGTTAGAAATAGGCCCGCCCCCTGTCCTAGAGGAGGAGAATGCTTGTCTTTCTTTTGGCAGACGGAAGTCTGGAGGACACAAAGTTCACTGTGGTGGTGAGACACCTTCTTGTGCATGAAGCTGGTATTTGAAGATGCTTTGGGAAAGGAGTATCTAAAAGAATCACCAGGAGAGATGCAGATAAAATACAGGGCACCCAGTTAATTTTTTTTTTTTTAAGACAGAGTCTTGCTCTGTCACCCAGGTTGGAATGCCGTGGCATAATCATAGCTTACTAAAACTGCCACCTCCTGGACTCTAGTGATTCTCCCATCTCAGCCTCCCAAGTAGCTGGGACTACAGGCAAATGCCACTGCACCCAACTAACTTTTTTATATTTTTGGTGGATGGGGGTTTGCTATGGTGCCTAGGCTGGCCTTGAAGTCCTGGGCTCAAGTGATCTATCTGTCTCAGCCTCCCAAAATGCTGAGATTACAGGCATGAGCCACCTGTGCGTGGCCCACCCAGTTACATTTAAATGTCAGATAAACAACACATTTTTTTTAGTATAAGTATGTCCCATGCAAACAAAAAACCCTGTGTATACAGTGTCCTATATGTATTTATTTCCCCCAATCTTCATTGCATGATCTCTCTGATCTCTTGTTGTTCATATATGCCCTTTTACGATTGTTTTTCTCACACCAGAAGAAAGCCCACCTTACTTTTAAAGAGCACAGTGCTCACTTATAAGGACAGGATGAACAAGTCTACCGGGGAGAGGCCAGCCTAGGCGGGGGTGTTCCTCTTGACTTGCATAACGAATGATCAGTGGTCAGCCAGTGAGTTTGTTAAGCAGAGCCTGTCAAGAGAGTTTCTGCTGTGCCAGGTTCACAGTGCCAGGCACTGGTAGGAGCCAATAAGCATTAGTATGATGATGGTGATTATTAACTAGTTTGTTGTTTGATGCTTAACTGGTTTACAGTTAATTTTATGAATAACCCTGTGACAAATACCTTAATAGTTGATGATTTCCTTAGAATATTTTCCTGAAATTTTAAAGAAGTTTAAAAATTTTAAAGTTTTTGTAGAGATGGGGTCTTGTTACATTGCCCATGCTGGTCTTGAACTCTTGTCCTCAAGTGATCCTCCTGCTTTGGCCTCCCAAGCTGCTGAGATGATAGGTATGAGTCACTGTGCCTGGACTGAAACTCTTCCTTTTAAATGAAATTTCCCTTGAGCTTTTTTTTTTAATTCATATGAGTACTGCAGTTTGTGGCCCCAAATCTCTCTGTGTGGCCAAATTTGTGATTATAAAATCTCAGGGAAATTTTATTGTTGTTTTTGCTATTTTTACCTCTACAATTTTGTTTGCTGTCTGAAATTGCTGGGTGGGTTTTCTTCTAGTTCACCTTTTTCTCAGGGCATATTCTACTTGAGTCTTGGCTTTATACAGGATGGTCTGGCTCTTCACTCCATATGAGATACCTGAAGATTCATAGATGCCCCCCGGTTGTGCAGTGGTGGCAATAGTTAATTTAACTCTGCTCTCCTGCTTCAATCTTGGCCTCCAAGGGTGAAGTACTCTTATTTTCTCAGAAGCTTGTTTGCTTACTTAAAGGTGTTTGTCTGACATTTTAAACTTTCCTTGTAGTCATGGGACATGGGCTAGGATTGGCTGAGCTCAGAGCCTTTCCTCCTGGGACCATTTCCTAGGGAGAGAAAGAAATCAGTGAGAATTTGCCACTAGAAGAGATCTGAATCCTAATATTGCCTCCTCCTAGCTATTAGACTAGCTCTGAGCCTGCTTCCTCTTCTGTAGAGGGGGAGTTGCTACTACAGAGTGCTAAGCACTCAAGAGACAATGTCCTTACCTTTCAGAACACATGAAAAAGAGTCAGAAAAGGGGTTTCCACAGTGTCCTAAGTAGCAAAACTTTTTTTTTTTTTTTTTGAGACGGAGTTTTTTGCTCTTGTTACCCAGGCTGGAGTGCCTCCGCCTCCTGGGTTCAGGCAATTCTCCTGCCTCAGCCTCCTGAGTAGCTGAGATTACAGAAACGCACCACCATGCCCAGCTAATTTTTTGTATTTTTAGTAGAGACGGGGTTTCACCATGTTGACCAGGATGGTCTCGATCTCTTGACCTTGTGATCCACCCGCCTTGGCCTCCCAAAGTGCTGGGATTGCAGGCGTGAGCCAGCATGCCAGGCAGATGGATGATTTTATAGCTTGACTTAAACTGGAAAAGACGGACCAATCATTTCTGTGAGCCCACCACTCTTCTTCCTTGGACAAGGAGGCTTGCCAGGTTTTGTCTTTAGCTCTCATTCCTCGAATGAAGGCTGCCATCACATAAATTTTCCAACTACAAGGAGGCCAGAGTCATTCACATAAAGCTCCACTTAGCTCTAAAATCATAACAATCTTAAAATATCTTCAAGTTGGGGAACTCGCTTTTTCAAAACTCAATCCTGTTCAAGTATATAAGCCATAAGAAATAAACAAAACAAACATCTTCACACCCTGGGAAAAAGCCATAGCTCATTGTCTCATGCACAAATGGATCCAACTCTGCTCTCCAAGACAACTCACACTCATTTTAAAACTGTGGAGAGTCATCTTTCCTGACTTCACAGCGGTTCCAGATGCCATTCCAACTCCAACCATGGAAGTGGGATTCCTGGACAGGTCAGTTGGAAGTAGCTTGTGCTTGCAGTGGAATGGCTGGGAGGGGCAGGGGGGTGCAGTTCAGGTACTTGTGGGCAATATGAGAATACAGGAAATACAAGTGAGCTGGGATGACTGGTGTTCTTGCAAAGAACCTGTTGTGCTCCACATATGGAAGGTAGCATTCAAGAAGGACTCCTGGCCAGGCGCGGTGGCTCACGCCTGTAATCCCAGCACTTTGGGAGGCCAAGGCGGGTGGATCATGAGGTCAAGACATCGAGACCATCCTGGTCAACATGGTGAAAACCCGTCTCTACTAAAAATGCAAAAAATTAGCTGGGCATGGTGGCGCGTTCCTGTAATCCCAGCTACTCAGGAGGCTGAGGCAGGAGAATTGCCTGAACCCAGGAGGCAGAGGTTGTGGTGAGCCGAGATCGCACCATTGCACTCCAGCCTGGGTAACAAGAGCGAAACTCCGTCTCAAAAAAAAAAAAAGAAGGACTCCTGCTGGGTTGGAGCCTATGAAAAGGTTCTGCCTCACCCTACCCTACTCTGAGGGTACAAAAGTTTGCTTACTGAGGAGAGTGAATCGGACACAGATGCTGCAGGCTGTGGCCTTGCCCTGGCTTGCCCGTCTTCCTGGCAAGACAAGCAGTTATTAGAGGCTGGTGATGACTCCCTCTGTCTGGGGACAAGCTGTCTGTCTGCATTTCTAGGAGATGGCTCCTTCCTAAGGGTAAAGAAAAGGTGCCAGGCTGTGGAAGGGTCCAATTATTGGCAGCTCTATTTTACAGAATAATTGTCTTTGAGTGAAGTATGTGTTATAAAGTCAAACTTGGCACTTTTAATTAACATAAAAGAATCTCGGTCCTTACATGCTATGTACATGTATAAAGAAGGGAAATTCTTTATACACGTACAGGAAATGCTTTCAGAGCCGCTTTGCCGCAATGAGAATCTTCTTGGATGGTGTCCCAAGGGCAATTGCAAACATATTTCATAAATGGGTTTGTCTAATTCTTTCATCTGTTGACTAATACCTTTATTCAACTGCCTTAAGATTGTGTGTGTGTGTGTGTGTGTGTGTGTGTGTGTGTGTGTGTGTGTTTGAGACAGGGTCTCTATTCCCCAGGCTGGAGTGCAGTGACGCTATCATAGCTCACTGTAGCCTGGAACTCCTGAACTCAAGTGATTCTCCTGCTTCAATCTCTCAAGTAGCTGGGACTACAGGTACATGCCACCATACCTGAGTAATTTTTTGTGTTTTTAGTAGAGATGAGGTCTCACTATGTTGCCCAGACTGGTCTTGAACTCCTAAGCTCAAGCGATTCTCTGGCCTCAGCCTCCCAAATTGTTGGGATTATAGGCATGAGCCACCACATCCAGCCTATTTTAAGATTTAAAAAATTCTAAATACTACTATCAAAGGCAGCAATTTCTCTTAATATCCTTTTAATCAGATCTGAGGAGTTGAATGGGCTGTGAACATCTTTCTAGGGCCAAATACCTATGACAGAAGAAACTTCCAAGAGCTTCTGGGATTTCCAGTTCAGCATCGCAAGCTGGAAAGGTGGCAGCCATATTCCAGGGTCTCAGTGGGTCTGTGTTCAGTGGCTACTGACTCAGAGGCCCATCCTGACCTTGACCTCTGAGCTAATAGCACTGAACTAGCACTACATCTGCAACTGGATCTCGGAATCCCAGTTGACTGCTGATCTTAGTTCTGCTATGTGTAAATTGTGAAATCTAATCAACCTCTGAGTCTTATAAAATGAGGAAATAACCCCTTCTTTACAGGTTGTGGGAAGGCAGTAGAAGGTGATAATGTGTACAGAGTGCCAAATTCAGAATTTGCCAAGTGGACAGTCAAGGATGATAGTGTTCCAGCCACTTCCACCTCTGGAAGTCTGTCCTTTTTTTTTTTGCTTTAGGCACAGAGAACAACTTGATCCTCCTGAAACAGATGATTCCCAAATGCACATTCTAAACTTGAGACATCTTCTAGGCTTCGGGCTTATGTGGAATATTTACAGATGGTGGTTCTATCTTGTTAAAGTGTCCAGACATTAAACTCTTCTGTCTTCATCACCCCACCCCAACAAACACACAAATCCCAACCAAGCAACAAACCTGCTCTTCCATCTAGAGTTCCCTGTTCTGTTAGTGACAACACCATTGTTCGAGATCCTCACACTCTTTGACTTCCATTCTCACCCAGTCAGCCTCCAAATCCAGCTAAAGTCTTTCCCTTTCTTCCCTCCCCACCCCTGCTCTGGCCCCCTTGTCTTCCATTCTTTCTTCCATTCATGCCATTCCCAGTCCCAGCAGTTCAGATGCAGTGAGAAATGTCTGTGAACTGTTTGGGTCTTCTCATTCCATTCCGGGTTATAAACTCAGAGCCTCCTCTGACTCTGGAGTTGGCATGGCCTCTCCCATCCATCCTGCCATTGTTCCCCCCACCACCTCCATTTGATTGCATTCACAGATTCCTTTATACCATTTTTGGGCTCAGGCTCTATATGGACTATGAGAAATATTCCTTAGTTCAGTCTGCCCCAACTCTCCATTCTGTTTTTTGAGATGGAGTCTTGTTCCATTGCCCAGGCTGGAGTGCAGTGGTGCGATCTTGGCTCACTGCAAACTCTGCCTCTGAGGTTCAAGCAATTCTTCTGTCTCAGCTTCCTGAGTAGCTGGGATTACAGGCACTTGCCACCATTCCCAGCTAGCTTTTATATTTTTAGTAGAGATGGGGTTTCACCATGTTGGCCAGGCTGGTCTTGAACTGCTGACCTCAGGTGATCCACCTGCCTCAGCCTCCCAAAGTGCTGGGATTACAGGCATGAGCCACCACACCCGGTTCCAACTCTCCATTCTGACCCAATCGCTAACTCTCTGCTCCAGCCATGTACACCATTGACTCCAATTGTCATTCCCTTCCCCAGCCACATTCTTTCATCTACTCATTTACTTACCCCATTCGGTGGTTCCCGTGTTGCCTAAGAGGCTTTCTAAACTCTTTCCTTATCAATTGATTGGAACCACAATCCTTTTTGACATTCAAATACTTCCATCAAACTGCATTTTCTTATTTTATTCTTGGGGCCACCATATTAGAATCAAATGAGACATGATTTCTGAGATGCCCCCAATAACCACTATGCCACCCTAGGAGGTAACACAGATTAAAAGTTAAGAATTTAATCTGGATCCAAATTGCAGCTCTATCATTTACTAGTTGCGTGACCTTGGCAATTTCTTTAGCCTCTCTCCCACTCTGTTCTCTCATCTATAAAACTGAATAATAATGCCTACTTGACATGGTTGTTATGCACTAGGGGATAATGCATGGTGAAGGTCTTAACATAGTGGCTGGCACCCAGTAAGTGTTCAATAAATGATTGTGCCTGTCTTTCAATTCTTGTTTTGCTTAACTTTCTATGGCTAATCAGTAATGAAGATTGACTGTGATACTTAATTTCTTGTTCTGGGGCCAGGGAACCTTTAAGATGTGAGTATCGATGGTTAAAAGACTGTAAATGGAAGTCTGAAAAAGGGAAGTGATAGTTGACTAGGTTGTAAGGTTTTCAGGGCAGAGATAATGTTACTTTCATCTTCACATCTCCAGTCCTAGGCTGGGAATGTAGTAAGCACTCAAAAATATATGTTTAAATCAACTAAATGCTGAGTTGCAAAAACTTCATTGCAATGACCTCTGGTTAGTTTTTATTTCTGTCTCCATATTTCTTATAGTTGTCAAAAAAACTTCCAGAATGCTGGGATTCACTCATTCCCTGTCATTTAAAAAGGTTGTATGTGTGGATGTAGTATGTGTGTGCGTATTATGTAGGAACACACACACACATTTATATTAGCACTGTTGTAGTCTGGCTTCACTGGATTTTGTGTGTTTGTCTCTCTATCTTCCCACTGTAGACCTTTTGGGTTTGGATCTGTCCTTAGATTTGTCCCTGGATTATAACCACACCAGAAGAGGCTTTCTGGAAGGAGAGCTACCTTTATCTGACATACCTGAGTTTGTCTGTGGG